TTTTTGCTATTCCAGATACTAGTTGCTACGCAGTTCTGGGGAACGATTAAAGCTATACAAACCGATTGGGGGAGAGTTTCGACCCCTGACTGATGAACTAAGTAAAGCTGGAGTTATTCACAGACTCACCTGCCCTCACACTTCTGAACAGAATGGAGTAGTGGAGCGAAAGCACGGGCACTTAGTTGAAACGGCCCTGGTGCTGCTTGCTCAGGCCTCCATGCCCATCAAGTTCTGGTCGTATGCCATTCAAACCACGGTACATCTCGTCAATCGACTTCCAACAAAAGTGCTACTTGGTAAATCTCCGTTTGAGAGACTATAAGGGAAGGTACCAGATTACAGCAGACTAAGGGTATTTGGATGCAGATGCTTTCCTCACCAAAGACCATTCTTGCATCACAAACTCGAGTTCCGATCCCAACTGTGCACTTTCTTAGGCTACAACATGAAACATAAAGGATTCTTGTGCCTAGCAAGAAATGGGCGTATATACGTTTCCAGACATGTAATATTTAATGAGAATATCTTTCCTTTTGCAGGTAGTTATGAAAAAATCCTAAAGCAACCTCAAGTGGAAAGTCATCTTGATCGCTTGAGTTGGTCACTGACATCACAAGGTTCAAGTTGTTACAACCCGAAAACGACAGGTTGTCCTCGGGTGCTAACAACAACAGTCCATCAGGCAGCAGCAGTCCATCAGGCAGTATACAAGCTACAGATAATAGTCGTGCTATGGTGGAAACTGAGGTGATTCCTGAAGCACCCATAGTGAATACATATGAAGATAACCAACACGAAATTAACCCTGAACAACATGTGGAGAGTTCAGCTGAGAATGATGATGCTGACGCTGCAACCAGTCGTGGTAACAATCACCCCATGATGAGTCACAGTCAGTGCGGGGTGTTTAAACCTAAAGTGTACATATGATCTGTTGATGATGATGTTCCATGTAGTGTGCATGAAGCACTTTAGTCACCAGACCGGAAAGCAACAGTTTATGAAGAATACAATGCCCTACAGCGCAATGACACCTGGGAGCTCACTAAACTACCAGAAAGAAGAAAGGTGATCGGTTGTAAATGGCTTTTCAGAATCAAAAGAAATCTCGATGGCTCTATCCACCGCTATAAGGCGCGATTAGTGGCTAAAGGGTTCTCACAGATTCCAGGTTATGACTTTAGAGACACATTCAGCCCTGTCGTTAAGTTCAACACCTTGAACGTCATTCTGTCATTAGCTGTAATGAACAACTGGACTCTAAGGCAAGTAGATGTGAACAATGCCTTCTTGAATTGAGATCTTCAGGAGGTAGTCTTCATGCAACAGCCACCAGGGTTCGAACAAACTGCTTCTGATGGTAGCAAGTTGGTGTGTTGCTTAAAAAAGCGCTATACGGGTTAAGGCATGCACCAAAGTGCTGGCAAACTAAGCTGCGAGACAGTTTGTTGAGCATTGGCTTCAAAGAGTCTCGAGCTGATGTGTCTTTGTTCATCAAGAAAGAAGGGATGCACTACATATACTTGCTAGTATATGTTGACGATATCATAATCACGGGACACTCGAGTGTTGAAGTGGATGAGGTGGTTCGGCTGTTGAGTAACAAATTCTCATTAAAGGACCTAAGCCAACTCTCGTATTTTCTAGGGATCGAGGTCAAACGAACTAGTGAGTTCTTAGCACTATCACAGAAGAAATCCATCATGGAGTTCCTTGAGAAAACAAACATGCTGAAAGCAACTGCAACACAAACCCCTATGGTAGCAGCCACCAAGCTGCGCTGTGATGATGGAGATCCTGTTGCTGATGCTCGTTATTATCGCAGCATTGTTGGAGGGTTGCTGTACGTGTGCCATACCAGACTTGACATCACATTTTGTGTAAACAAAGTTGCTCAGTTCATGCACTCCCCACGACAGTCACATATGGCTGCAGTTAAACGAATCCTACGTTATTTGGTTGGTACAATTAACTATGGGCTAGTGTTCACTGCTGCTGGAACTAGTGTTAAGGTTGTTGCCTTTGCAGATGCGGATTGGGGTGGTAGCCTTGATGATAGGAGGTCAGTGTCTGGCTACAGCGTGTTTGTTGGAAATAATTTGGTTGCCTGGAGTTCGAAGAAGCAAAAATATGTATCACGCTCGACGATGGAGACTGAATACCAAAGTGTTGCTTACACTGCAGGAGATGTAGTTTGGGTTGGAGCTTTGCTTACTGAACTTGGGATATGTCCGAGAGAAGAGCCTGTCATATGGTGCGACAACACCAATGTCGTAGCGATGAGTACGAACCCGGTGTATCATGCTCATACCAAACATGTTGATATTGATATACATTTCATACACGAGAAGGTTGCAGCAAAGCAGATGCGAGTTAACTATGTCCCTGCTGCACATCAAATTGCTGACGGGCTAACTAAGCCATTGGCAAAAAATGCATTTGAAGAGTTTCGTGCAAAGCTGTGTGAAGTTGTGCTGAGGAGCAGGAGAGAAAAGAAAGCAGGAAGAATGTTGAAGTATACTGCAGTTGCTGGCTTGCCTGTGTGTGTGGCTGATGCATGAGTGGATGACTGGTTCACACGTGCATGGTTGTTTCTAGATGCAAAAGTAACTATGTTCTGTTAAGCTGTTAGATAGTTTGTGTTTCTGTTATAATAGGCAGTTAGAGTTCTTGCTAACATACATGTAATCTTGGCGGATATATAAGGTGCGTAAGGGTGATGATTTGAAATGAGAAAGAAAGCATTTTCTTCCACTCACTCTACTGAGTATAACACGAGCCTCAAGCTCTTTCAATACTTTTTAAGTGAACGTTTCCTTGGGGGATCTGATGCAATTTCATTGTGCCATGAAAATGCCTTTTTGGTAGAGTTTTCTGATGTTACAATGTAAAGTAACGTAGAATTTATATTTTCAATTTGAACTTTGAAGTGGAATCCACATCACTTGAAGGAGGTGATGATCTGTCCGCTGTCGATGATAACTGAACTATGCAAGGAGCTTTGCCTTTTCAAGATGATGAAGGTATTGTCCAAGATTCATCTTTCGGAAACATCTCAATTGCTTGTTTGTTTATATGATACGGTCATTCCTAAACGGCTAAACCCCAAAACCTTTCATCAAGAAAATATTATCTTTTAAGCCAACCGAAGTCATATTCAAATGCCTTTGACAGTCCTCACCAAACTTCCAGGGAAACAACCATCAGCTTAGATGCGAACAAATCTAGGTTTTAGATGCTTTTAATTACTTCTTATAAATTACTGTGAACATATCTGTCTGGTTGGAAGGTCAAAACTACAGTATCCAGCAAGCAAATGATGAAATAGGATGCACATGTGGAAAAGGTGGAGCATTTAATCTTAATGAATTGTTAAATATGTTCTTAGGAAAGTAAAATATATGACGCGTGCGTAAAGTCCGAAGTAGCCAGAGACTTTTCAAATACTCCATATTAATATGCATTCCCATATAGATTTTCATTTGATTTAAGTTCCACTCAAATATTGAACTGCCAAAGAAAGACATGATAAGTTCATTAGAAATATGGTTGAAATTTCCTACCCACTATATCCCTTAGTACCAGGAAATATCACCCACTCTTCTTTTCCAAGTAATACATTTAATCAAAATTTATATTAATTTGACTAAAATGACTTATTTTAAATTAATAATTAAATAATCTGCATGTGCATCGTTGATGTTGAAAATTTTCATTTTAAGTTATACTATTATTATACACGTTAATCCCATTAAGGCAGACTTGATGGGAATTAAAACATAAAAAAATACAACCTTCGCGATTGTCAGATTACTTTTATCCCAAAATAAATCCAGAATTTGAAATATTTTTTTACCTTTGGAACATTAATTTGAACATATATGCACTGATTTTTGAATTCCAAATCAATAAGGCAGCTGGTTGGTTTCCAAGATGAGTGAAGTACAACCTTAGTTAAAAAGAATCTTTAAACTAATTAAACAAATAAAAGATGTATCCTATTTCATTCTTTAATTTTCTTAAACAATCTGCTTTAGTTACTTGACAAAGATGTCCAAGGATCGGTCTAATCAATTTACGAATAATATTATCATTGTATACTTATTTGTTTAAGTTTACCTTACACTAACTTTTAAAAACCTTACATTTAACAACTTTGAATCTCAAATTCTATTTAATTTTGTGAAATTACATCTATGTGGCAAATATATAAGAATAAATTAATATGTCACATCAGATTTTCGTAATGTGGGTAACAAAGAAGATTAACTATTATCAACAGAGATTGATTCAAGTGATAAGTAGTTTGATATTGTTTAAGCAATGTCTCGAGTTCGAGTCCTTGTGTATGCAGAAAATATTTGCTGTGAGACTTACCCACCAAAACTATATGTGCAACTGGATCAGTCTAGATTAATCAAGGCGAAGCCTTAAAACCATGAGGGCAACAAAAAAAGTTTTTAAATTCTATTACAATTAAAAAAGATCAATGACTGTTTTGCAACATTTTAAATTTTAATAGTGAAAAAAGAAGTTTATGCAAACTTTAGTGACCATTTATATAGTTTACTTTTAAATGTATTTGATCCAATATTAAATCAAATATATTATGTAGTTGAAAGATTAGATCATATTAAACTCAAGTCTTGAGTAATAAATTAAAATCCATCTTATCTATGAAATTATAATTAATTACTGTAATTCAACGTGACAGAGCTCGAGATACCTATATCTATGGAACATGTCTATATGCATATGGAAACGTATGCCGTAGGAGAACAAAGCAAACAATAACAAAGCATGAGAAAAGCGTTGTTCATTTTATTAATATTAATGAGAAAAAAGAAGCTAAAGCCAAAGTTGGTGCAACACCTCATGATAATGATGTTTTATCAATTTGCACCATCTTCCTCATTATAAATTAAAGGGACTTTCTCTTTAAATCTGTCACTCAAACCCTTAATTCCATCGTATCAGAAGAAAACAAAAAAAAAAAACAAAAGCTTACACCAAATTAAATACAATGTCTTCGAGTTCCAATGCTCCAGGCTTTGATTATAATCGATGGGTGATTAACATCCGTCGAACACTAGAGTCAGAGCTTGAAGACGACAATGAGATCCCCGTTAGTATTTTCAATGTCCCCAAAACCCTTTTATCATGCGATCCAGATGCATACACCCCACAGCTGGTCGCCATAGGTCCTTATCATTACTGGCGTCCCGAGCTGTACGATATGGAGAGATATAAGATCGATGCTGCCAAAAGAACACAGAAAAATCTCGTCAACAATCTCCAGTTCGATGATCTCGTCGAGCAACTTCAGAGGCTGGCGCCGAAGATCCGAGCGTGTTACCACAAGTTGCTCGACTTCAGCAATGAAACTTTGTGTTGGATGTTAGCGATTGACGCTTCCTTGTTGCTTGAGTTCCTTCAAATCTATGCCATGAAAGAATGTAAGATGCTCACCAGGGTTTCTTCAAGGATGTCGCATTTGGTTGATTATGCAGGTCGAAAATCTGCCCATAACGCGATTCTCAGAGATATAATGATGCTGGAGAATCAAATTCCTCTGTTTGTGTTGAGAAAGATGCTGGAAGTTCAATCCGCATCGCTTGAACGAGCTGATGATCTGTTGCTGTCGATGGTAACGGGACTATGCAAGGAGCTTTGTCCTTTCAAGATGATGAAGGTATTTCCCAAGATCCATCATTTGGAAACATCTCACTTGCTTGATTGTTTATATGATATGGTCGTCCCTAAGCTCCAAATTCGAACGATTTCCGAGATATCCGAGCTTGAAGATCCAAATGAAGCCATGAAATGCACACAAGGTTCATCCGAGGACGACCCTGGTTACATTAAGAAACTCCTATGTGCCACATGGAAAATGTTATCAAAGATAAACAAAGGTCCACTACGTCTCATCAAGAAAATCTTAACTTCAAAGCCAATCAGATTCATATTCAAATTGCCTTGGATAATCCTCACTAAACTTCCAGGCTTTTCAATCTTGAAACAACCTGTGGAGCTTTTCCTCAATGGAGCAGACAGTGAAGACAGCAAATCAGAAGAGGGTTCGGGCGGTGCTGACAAGCCACCGCTAGTGGAAGAGATCGCAATTCCTTCAGTTACTGAACTTTCAGACTCCGGGGTTCGTTTTTCGGCCACCACAGGCAATATCTCAACCATTTGTTTCGATTCCAAGAATTGCACTTTGCACCTTCCGACCATCAGCTTAGATGTGAACACTGAGGTGATCTTGAGGAACTTAGTGGCGTACGAAGCATCGAATGCTTCGGGGCCATTGGTTTTCACTCGTTACACTGAGTTGATGAATGGGATCATCGATACGGAAGAAGATGTGAAGCTGCTGAGAGAGGGGGGGATCATTTTGAATCACATGAAGAGCGATGGAGAAGCGGCTGATCTTTGGAACGGGATGAGCAAGTCAATCAGGTTAACCAAAGTGCCTTTCCTTGACAAGACGATCGAAGAGGTCGACAAATATCACAATGGACGATGGAACATCAAAGCTAAAAACATGATGAAATCTTATGTGTTCGGTTCTTGGCAGATTCTCACTTTTTTTGCTGCAATTTTTCTCTTGTTGTTGATGTCACTGCAAGCTTTTTGCTCGGTATATAGTTGGAGTCGCATATTCAATATCGACACCAATGCCAGCGACTGAGTTCAACTCTTTCACTCTCCCAGTGTTTTCTTGGTTTTTTCTCCCAAAAATAAACTATTTAGATCGTTTGGTATAATTTTTCTTGAGAGGTGTGAAATTAAATTTTAGTATTTACAATGATTTCTTCATTTATTTATTTTTCACTTCTCATTCTTATGTACTGTGTTAATAATAAAAAAATAAAAGAAAAAAGTTTGGTTTGGTGTGCATTTAAATTCCTTTTCTTTTCTTTTCATCCAAGGTATAAATAATAAATGCTAATTTGTAACGATGACGAATCTGTTGGCTTGTCCGTTAATCATTTTACGTTGTTTCTTTATATTCTAAACAAAATTATCCTCTCGGTTCCTTCTTTTATCAATTCGAAGTAGATTCTCCAGCTATCGCGCTTCACAACAATCCAAGTGCAAAGTACTACTGTGTATTTTACATGTTTAAATAAATAAAATCATATTATATGCAAAGTGGGTTGTCCACATCCAAAAGCCTTAACTACTAATATGCTTTACAGAATTTATGCCTAAGATTAAATTAATTTTATGTGCGTTTGGTTCGTGGAATATTACATTATTAGAGAATATTTTTTTCCGGAATTATATTCTCACGTTTGGTTCACAGAATCTTACATTACCGAAAATACTCTTTTTCTAATAGTAGCATTTTTTTATTAAAATTTTGAGAATGTCATTACCTCCAAATTCTTAGGTAATCTTACATTCTCACCGCTTTGGACAAGAATACCATTTGACTAAAGAATTCTTTTTATAATGATCTTTCTAAATTCTTATTTTTTATACTTTACTCAAAATTATAAAAATAATAATAATATACAAATAGTTTGATTTACTAAAATATTAATATTTTTAAGAATTTAAAATATTTTATATTTTTAATATTCAATATTTTACTATTTATAATTTTATGGGATAAAAAAATAGTATTATTGTACAAATATAATTATTTAAAATAATATTTTACTACCATAATATTATTTTTTATATTATATTATATTTTATATAAATAAATATGATACTTATGAACATTATTTAAAAATATAAATTTAATATACTAATTATATTAATTATATATTAAATGTATTTTTTCCTCAAAATTTAGATAGTATTACAATTAAAATATTTTTATGAATTCTCATTCAAATATTTATAAATTAATATTAAAGTTTAACGTTAAAAAAATATATCACAATGATAATTTGGTAAAATATGCATCCATGTAATTTTATATTCCTCCAACCAAACATTGTAATCTTACATTCTTGCTAAACAAACCAAACAATATAATCTTACATTCCGTTAACCAAACGTCCCTCGAAACAAATACGTGAGAGATTAAAAAAATAAAAGACCCTAATTATTTGATGATAAGACGTATTTGACACTATATATAAAGTGTCATTTGAAATAATAAATAATTATGATATATCGAATAATAATTATTCCGTGTGTATACATTACGGTTTGGACAGCTTAATAGCTTTTGTTCGGAAAAGATCCGTCCAGTTATCTCATGCTCAAACAGCCTAAAACCAAAGATTCTTTGGTATAGGTTAAGGGATGTTGGGATATTAATAAGCCGACTTGCCAATTTATGTTTATCAATTTGAAGTATATGTTTTTAAATTTTCTTTAAAAAATTTGCGCTCGAAAGCAATCAAGGTGCTAAGTGTTGCAGAATATATATATATATAATGTGAATAGAAATAATTAGTTTTATTAAAAAAATAAAGATTACAATGGATAGTTGTAATTATAAGTGTAAATTCATAAATAGGATATTTTCTATAATTGTTGACACGGAACTAGTCACTTAATATCATATAATGACCATACAAGGAAAATGTTAGAAATATATCCAAAGAAATTTGAACAAAACAAAGATACAAATAGATATGACTGCATCGACAAATGAATCACAACAGGATATCAAGTATCTGAAAGACCATCAATAATTACGAATCAAAGTCGAGCGTTGTGAGAAAATAACTATCGAACACAAATCGTATATCCAAATTCATTTGTGGTCCAAAGTAAGGTTATTTTATCAGTCGATATAATGTTAAATCAAACCCAGAGAGAACTAAACAAAAAAATCAAACGATTGATATAAAATATTAAAAACGTATCAAAAGACAAAAAAATTATGTCATGAAAACATAATTATTAAAATTAAAAAATATTATATAAAAATATAAAAAAAATACTGACAGTATCAATATTAAAACTAAATTCGTCCAATAAATAAAATTAAAAACAAAGACTAAGCGGCTGGGGGGGCTCTAAGAGTCATTATCGCAGAATATATAAAGCGCCGGACCAAAAAGCGTAAAGCCTAGTTGATAGGATTTGCCAAAGAAAAAATAAACTTATATTTGCCAAAGAAAAATTAAACTTAAAAGAAAACATAATTAGTTGATTATAAGACTTATCTGATACTAGATTCAGATTGCCATGTCAAGCATATGGCATTGCTAATGCCCAAAATGGCACTATCTTTTATTTAGATCAAATTTATTAAGCATATTTTTGGTCGAATTAAGGATAATTTGTGTTTGTAGGAGATCCGGTTCAGTCTTTCCAACTCATAAAACTTATTTTACTAAAGTATTATAAATTCATATATTTTCATATTTAAATAGTAATGTAAAGCAAAATGGTTGTAATTATAGTTATCCAGATCTTATATTATAATATATACCTTATCGATCACAACACATAAATATTAAGCATTTAATCTGTTACATAACAATTGAAAGCAGTTAAATTGTCCATCTCAACTCTCAAGTACAACTCTTCCTGCTCCCTAATTCATGTATTAAATATAATATTTTATTTAAACTTTTTAAAGAATAAAAGTACAAGATAAACATTGTGTTTAAGATAGTGACTGTGATGGTGAAATGCAACTTCGTCATGATATTATTGATGATGTCAGTATCAATAAATTTTCAAGAATTATGTACCAATAATATAATTTACCGTCTTCCTAAATTACAACTTTATTTTATAATAAAAACATGGATTTCCCTGAAGGTTCTGGATATGTGGATTTAGTTCGCCATCTCTTTGCAGTCTTAGCTGGCTAATGATGGACTGCCTAAGGCTGTTTGTTTTTAAGCTTTGGAAGGCTTGATGTTAGGGCTCAATCGTTGGTCTCTATGACCGCACTCTGGCTGGGCTCATCAATTGTGTAGCCTTGGTATAGGAGAGTGTATGTTGCTGGATGCTTTGTTAGGCGGTGTTTGTTTTTACAGAGGTAAAAGATTTGCAGTCTGCGGATCACATCTGCAGGCATCTACAATAGAAGAGGTGGATCAAAAGTCTGCAGTCTGCAAGAAGAAGACTGTTTGTTTTTTAACGTCTGTAGACTGCTAAAATAAACTGAAATGTAAATAAACTGTTTTTTTAAACTTAAAAAAGTTTGCAATACTTAAATTTAAATAATTTTAGTTTTATAATATTGAAATTTAAATAATTCATACAACTACAATAATAAATTTTTGGGTAAAGTATAGTAATGGTCACTAAAATTTTGTAAAGCTTTCATTTAGGTCACCCAACTTTTAAAACTTATAATACAACCCCCCAACATTTAGTTCGTTTGCAATATGGTCCCCCAACAATTACTTCAGAGACCATATTGCAAACAGACTAAATGTTGGGGGATTGTATTGCAAGTTTTACAAGTTAAGGGACCTAAATGAAAGCTTTAAAAAATTTAGTGACCATTACTATACTTTACCCTAAAATAAATTGAGCCAACTACGTTCAAGAGCTCAATAGATGGAGATTAGATGGGATCATAGAGAGTATTGTTGAGAGAATGAGACGGGAACGAAATGGAAGAGCCATTGCTATGTAGAAGAAATTTAGAGGAAGAAAAAAGGAAGATAACATGGAGCGGATTCGCAGAGGAGTTAAAGGCGGTGAGCTACATGGCGGTGCCGATGGTGGCGGTATCAGTGTCACAGTATTGTTTGAAGGTCATATGATGATAATGGTCGGCCACCTTGGGGAGCTACCTTTTTCTGGTTGTGCCTTGGGTGTCTCCTTCGCAACGTCACCGGCTTCAGCTTTATTGTACGTCTTCTCTCCCTCTCGAATCCTTTAATTTCCATAGTTTCTCGTCTTTTCACCTGCAAATTCACTCAGAAGAACTGATTCATCGGAATAAATCTAGGTTAATCACTATAAAACTTAAACAGAAAATAACTTGAGAGACCGAAAATACCTTATAATATATGATTTTAACTAACTTTTTTTGTTTGCAAAAATAACCAACGAATTCGCAACTCAATTTCGAATCCGCAACACGAAAGCCAAATTCGCAACACAGTTTTCAAATTCGCAACACAAATTTGTCAAATTCGCAACTCACCTTTCAATTTCGCAACTCGAATTCGGATTTCGCAACTCGAATGCGCCAATTTCGCAACTCAATTTTACTGCGTTTACCTATATAAGTAATTATAACCTGTCAAAATAATGATGTTTTCAATCATTTTTATCGGTTTTGTTAATAATTCAATTTAAAAATAAATACATGATATTATTAAAAAAAATATTGAAATTATTATTTTGAAATTTATTTTTCTTTTTTTGTCATTTTGTTACAATATGTAACTTAAATTCTGCAACTTACATCAAAGCATTGGTTTATAATTACCTATATAGGTAAACGCTGTAAAATTGAGTTGCGAAATTGACGAATTCGAGTTGCGAAATCCGAATTCGAGTTGCGAATTTGGTAAATTCGTTAGTTATTTTTGCAAACCCAAAAAAAGTTGGTTAAAATCAATGTTTTTAAAACCGGACTGGATATTGAACCGGTGAAGATACTGATTCACTGGTTCAACCGCGGTTGAACCGGATTTTATATAAAATAATATATTTTTTTAATTTTACATAATATTCAAAACAATATTAATATATATGTAACACTTTTTTTAAGTTTACAAGATTAAAAGGTATAAAAATATCACA